CCTAACCCAATTATTTCATAAAATATCGTAGTAAATGACGATTAAATTTTGTTATCTTGATTATTTCCGGAGTAAAGTTTGCACGGAACTTAAAATGACTTAATAATTTTTTCCGCAATATATTAAATTTCACTATTCTGCTTTATTCTATTGCGTTTACTCACGAGAAAGCTGCTGCACAACAGTACAGATGTAATCGAACATCTAACGAAAGACCTTGACGAACGACAATGATAAACGATCCCTTAATCGTGTTTCAACTAACCAACTCGATGGGATCGTATAACTTAGTACTAACAAGCTTTGCATACGCACGCTAAGCGTGCTCACAATCATACGTTTCTACGCGAATTTTGTTGTATGATATGCACACATTGCGTGAATTTTAAATCTCGTTGGGAGTTTAAGTATCGATCGATAAGAGAGAATAACTCTCGCGTAACACTCGGATTATAATGCCTCGTAGAGAGAGACGTTAAATAGAGACGCAAGTTAATGTGTGATGTTACTTACTAGAATCTCTTACTTATTAAACTCTGAATTCCGTTCTGAATTACGTAAAATCGGCTCAGACACAGCTTTAAACAAGTTCCTGCCAATTTTGAATCAAGCAGTACATCCTGATAATCCTGAGGAACCGTATTTCTCAGTAAACGAATCGCGTTTAATAATTAATTCCGACGGTTATCGACCAGAATCCTTCGTCTCGAAGAAACAGCAGTTTCGCATTCGAGGGAGCCATCGAACCACGGGGGAAAATTACGCCCTTTCCCTTCTCGCTTTGGCTTTCCTTACGTTCCTTTCACGATAGCAACGACTGAAAATGAAGGCGCCGCGAAGGAAATTTCGCGTGCGGGAAAGTGTCTACCGCCGCTGGAATATTTAAATAGTAAGGGCTGCTAGCTACGTCGTAAGTGGCACTCTCGACTTTCCTAACCGTCTTTTACGCTTTCCGGTAGAAACACAACGTCGTAGTGGCGACGCGACCGACGTTAAACCCGTTTCACCTCGATACTTCTTTGCCCCGTTGCGTGCGAGAATTTCCATTTTGTGTAGTCTTCCACATAACATAGCAGTGAAATAGGTTGCTTTATCGTATTTCTCGAAATATCGCTAAACGCAGCGTGTATTCCATTTATGTTCTTTATACCAAATGCCCAAGATTTACGGCGCGTGCGATCGTATTTTGTCTACGTCTGCAAGACATTATTTTTTAGCGTTAATTGCGAAACATTATGATAACATTAGCTACATTCAGCAGAGAAAGCAGCTTTGTAACTGAACTTTGTAAAGTTCTTTAATATGATTGGTTTATAGATTTAAATCCATAAGAAACTAAAAGCAAGAATCAAAGTATTGAAGAATTATACAATAGTTGCAAAACTGCTTTCTCTGCTAAACGCAGCCATTATTGTAATCAATTCTTCTCATTGTTGTTTCCCATTTATGTTACAGGTGCGGGCTCGTATCAAGCCGACGAGTGGCCAGTGTCGTGTCGAGTGACGTCGAGTGACGGCATTTAAGTGTGACTCCAACCAGTCTTTTGCCTCCTTTACACCGTGTGCGAGAGATGAACGAATGACTGGACCGCGGTGATCCGTGATACGCGATGAGGCCGAAATCTTGCTCGCTGTTCCTGTTATTTTGCGTGCTCCTGCCCGGAGTGGTTCGTCCTTTCACATCCGGCGAAGGTAAATAAAAACTTGAAGCCGAGAGTAAAAAGCTCCGTCGCCGCTACGTCGTAAAGCTTCGGGCGGCAAGACGGTGTCGAGACGAGAGAGTCGAGGAAGAGAGGATCTCGTAGAAGATCGTTAAGTTCGCCATTTAACTCGTGCCGAGTCTATAATGACCTCTCATCCCTCGTGAATTCGAAGAGCCGCGCGCGGCCTGAGTACTCTCAGTTCTCACTCGAGGTACTCGCACCAAATGCGACGTCCACTTATTTACGCAAGTTCTTCTAGGGGCATCCGTTTACACGAGAGACATTACTGTTATGTTGTAAATTACGTTATATCGTTACGTCATTGATGAAATCGCTGATCGCATTAATTTGTCCGAGGTTTTCACTTGCTCTTAGAGCGTCATCGACACATTTTACGTATATTTCTTCTTTTCGTGATCGATACGCGAAGCAATGGACAACGAATGCATCTTGCGCGTGCCGTATTTTTAATAAAATTCGCGACAGAGATTCGCAAACAAGCCTCAGTAAATAGCATACTTACTTAATGAGATGACGGCGTGACGAGCTACTTGAAAATATCATCCGACAACGCTCTGGATCGCAATATTCAGAACGAGACGTAATACAACATGACTCGGATATTTCACTAACGATCGCGGGTGGAAAACAGAGGCATGCATTTTACGAGGTAGAGGCACGGAAGGAAGATCGAGTATTGTAACTAAAAGTATATACGAGCGATCGTTACGGATATGCAAGAGAGATATCCGCTGCGAGAAAGAGACCGAGAGACTGCTAATTATACGGCGAGGCAGCCTGACTGATTAGTCGTCGGTATAACCGACCGGTTACATTACACCAGCCCGTTTTCGATGATGGATTACGTTCCCCCGAAGCTACTTTTAAGCGACCTCCTGGACTACGTGGAAATCTCTTCGTTCTTTCTTCAATCTTCTCCTTCCTCGGGGGGACACCGCGGCTAACTAATTAGCGCCCCCGACATATCATCATCATCGTTCACGTTAACGACGGATTGTATCTATCGCGACACGGATACGGTGCGTTCTATATGCGTGTGTTAACGTAAAAAGAATGCGCGACAATCAATCTCTGTTAACTCGGGACAAAAGTATCACCCGCAACGTCGCCCTAAAACAAACACGATTCAGTAATCCATCTTCCGTATTCTTCCGTCGACACATCTTTTTCACGCATTGTCCAAATTCCGTTCCCGCAAAGCAATCACGACATCGCTTATCTTCGGGAGCGTTTGTTAGTTCGTGTACCGTGTAACCGTTTTCTCGGTAATCGGAAACGGTCTCATAAAACGGATGTGTATGATTTAACGCTAGGGCGAAACGAGGATACAATTATGACCTGTTAACCATCTTCTCCTTGAAGATCTAACTATATAATCTTGGCGTACACGCATACACATGACCTCTGTCCTTATTATCCCGTATGAAACATGCGTTGCCCACGCGCACACATCGACGGGAACAAACGGTGCCGGTGCTTGAAAACATTCGTTTTCCATTCCCCTAGGTACGTGTTGTAGGTACAATAGAAATCGCAACATAGCGCGAGTGTACGAACGCATACACAACATACACACCGTCTTCTTCCTTTACTCATTTTTCTTGTAGTGTGTGCACGGGGCAGATAAATAATTCCTATTCTGACGCGCATCGTCGTGATGGAAGCTACGGCGAGCGGCATCTCGCCGTATTCTTCGCACGGTCACCGATGCAAGAAATCATATCTCATGTGCGTCAGTACACGTGCTCGTAAAGTGTGCTTTCCATTTCTCACGCATGTCCCTCAGATAAGTAACAATTATCTTCAACAAGCACGTCGCGTTTTCACGAGACAATGCGGATATAGTAATGCGGTTAAAATCGCTACATGTTCCTTGCGTGAAAGCTAACGTATATATTTATCCGTTGCACCAAAGGCTTTATTGCAGGTTACGTTACTTAAATAAGATATAACGAAGCCCTATTGGTCTGAAATGCGCGGCGTAATGACACAGGCGCGACTGCACCTTTCAAGCATATGAAAAAGATTGCAATCTATTCACCAAGTCATCGCGTGTAACTCCGAGATAATTGTCGCTCTCATTATTATCATCGTTACGCGGGAAACAAGCTATAATGGCGATATACTTAGTCGCGTCAGCCGACTGATAAATAACAATTACGGCCTCTGACCTCGTAATAATTCTAGGGAGAGTTATATGGCGCTCGTGGCGCCTATCACGAATGCACTATTCCACGGTGGTCTGTCATATTCTATACATATAGCTCTATCTTAACTTAAGAATCATCGTCGTCGACGTCATCATATACCGTCGTCATGCCGTCATCATGTCGTCGTTGTCGTCGGGCAGAAAGTGGCGAACAAACGGCGCCTATCCGCTCACTCACAAGTCACATCATAGCCGCGCACGCGGGGCCATTGAGCCATTCTCCTATATACGTACGGAATTTGCCGGGTGAGAGCGCGACGTATTATATGCAATATATGCACGCACGCACGCACGCACACTCGCGCGTCCATGTGAATAATTACCCTGACGATTTATCGCGACGTGATATCGCGTCATAATTTCGCTGTCTTGACTGGTCTGGCGCTGCCGCCGCGCGGCGAGAAAAATATTAGCCGCGTTAATAATTAACGGTGCGCCTGCGGAGAGGAGGTCCCGCTTCAGCGACTCCGCGTTCTCACGTTTTGGTCGCCGTCGAACGCGGTAGCTCACAGACCGCGCACACCGTTGCACACCGCGTTGCGCGCCGGCGACGAGTTTCCACTGCTTTCGCGGCGTCAATTTTTCAACCGCGCTCGTTATCTCGTAACTGACACTGCCCGAATTTCACGTCGAGAAGGTATTCGGCTAGCGAGATTTTTTACGACGCGTTTCACTGGACAGATACATACCTCCATCTCGCGCGCGCAAATCCTGCTGCAAGCCCGGCAACTTCGGCTTTCGCCTGTGCGAAGCTCTCCGCGCATCCGTTCTCCGTGCGCGAGTATTAAATTTATGAAACCGATAGCGTCGCGCGTGCCTCGGCCGAAAATTTATGTTCCGCGACGCGGGATTATGCGGAGAAATTGATCGTTAATTCGTGTGCGCTCAGAGTTGCTTCGTGATTTATATCGAAGCTTAATAAGTACGATGCGCATGAGTATGAGAGGAAACTTGCGCGGCTGCGAAGAGAATGCAACAGCAGAATTGATTTTGTGATCGACGTTTTTACGATCTCCCCTCCAACAAGGGGATAACTTTGGCGAATTTCGCCATTGTGACGGGTCAAGATATATCTTCAAAAAGAAGATTGTCCTATCGCGCGCGCTTCGAAATGAGCTTCCTTAATCGCACGGTACAGTCAATTACAGGAACCGTGACGAATCGGTGTACCAGCAATAGTAACGGAGACGGCGTTTCTAATCATACCTCACGAGATGATCACGCTATAAATCGCCGGGCGTTATATCATCGCTTTCACGATCAGATTCGTTATCCACGATCACAGCGCGGCGCTTACACGTCGCGTCGGGAGAAGATAATAGAAGCCCGCGCGCGGGCGCGCGAATGCATCGCGGATGCTGGAAAGGATCCCGCTACTCACGCCGACCGGCCGCAACCATCACCCTCCCTGCTTCGATAAGTATCATAAGTAAATCGCGATTACCGTTCGCGATATAACCCGGTGCAGCGATCGCAGGAACGTAGGCTCTGAACACCGCAATGTGCGGTGGGAGCCGAGATCTGCTCTCGCGAAATCGCCACGGGCAAAAATGCAAAAGCCGCGCGCGCTCGCTCGGACGTGCAATTACCCGGTTGGTTCCACCAGACTGTCTCGCTGGACTCGGAAAGAGCGTTTCTTACGATGAGATAGGAAAGAGAGAAGGAGATAGAAGGAAAAAAAAGATTGGCAATCGAGAATGAAAATGAGGACGCGGAAAGAGGGAGAGTCTTTTTAATATCTCGTAGTCTCTCATCGGTATCCGGCCGGCCAAGGAGTCGCGCGTTCCTCTCCGCTGCGACGAAAGGTCAGGTCAGCTTTAATTATCGTAAATCAAACGAGCGGGCCGCCGCGCCACATCGGCCAAGGAGTTGCGCAAGCATAATTATTGTTGAAATCGGGGAGAATATCAACGAATAGAGGGGACTGGAGCGATACCTCGCGAATATGCGAGGGAACGGCGATCGTGAAATATCGGCCGATCGATCGGTTTATGTTCTTCGAAGTCGTGATCTTGCACGATGAAATTCTGGTTCTTTTTACGAAATTATAGCGCACGGCTTTTGATTATCCTCAATTAATTATAAAGTTATAAATGATGACTGTGAAATACAAGAATTTCGAAATTTATCTTCATTTTGGTTTAATATCCGCAATTTCTGTCTTTATTTAAGCGAAATGATAAAATGTTAAAATAGCTTTTCATGTTTAATGAGCTCGCGTGATATTATTACAGCTATAGTTCGCACTATATAAAATCTCTGGAGATATCAGATCCAATTTATGAAACTCATCTTACCTCGGCCCTTTTGTGCTTCATCGCGCTTTTATTTCGAACAAAACGGAACGGATCGCTTCGATACAATTTCGTTGCGGAATTGTAGATCGTTACGGGGCGCGCATTTGATATATCGTATCGAGACTTTAGCGATGAATCCGATAATGTTACGCCGTGTACGAATTTTCATTTAGTTTTAATGGTCTGGAATTACAAAAGGCTATATGTGAGAGAGTATCAAGGAAGTGTATCGGCATGACGCATGCGATTCGACCTCTCACTGTTATCAATATACCCTCCAAGAAGCCGCCGCAGGGGGTAACACGCGAACAGTCGTATCTGATTCTGTTATTCGCTTAATTACGCGCCTTAACGTAGCGGTGCCGCAATCGAGTCGTGTAATACGCATCATCACCCTCCATTTTCCACTCTTTGCGTCACTCTCGCCCTCGCTGCTCATGCATTTTCGAGCTCTTTAATTCA